ATTTTCTCAGCAGTATTGAAAATTTATACAGCTCTGAAAGTTTGGACCACAAATTTATTAATTTAGCACTGCACGCATTTAACACAATCAGCAAAAGAAAGAGACAACATAAGACAAAGCATATTCAGGTAATGCATGATTATAATTGGAATGCATTGCTTGATACAGTGGTGAATGCAGATTCAATAGTACCCTTCAGTATGAAGATTGGATAAATACGTGAAGGAAAAATTGCAATTATATGGTATAAGGGGAGACGATGGCTTGGTGGTATTATTGCTGGACCGTTAATCAAGACACCCAGATAAAGTTCTGGGGACCCGGGTTCTAATCCCACCATGGCAGATGGTGGAATTTGAATTCAATAAATATCTGGAATTAAGAATCTAATGATGACTGGAAAAGCCAGTCTAGTTCACTAATGTCCCTTAGGAAAGGAAACTGTGTCCTTGCCTGGTTTGGCCTACATGTGACTCCATACCCACAGGAATGTGGTTGACTCTTAACTGCTCTCTGGGCAATTAGGGATGGGGCAATAAATGACAGCCAGCGACACCCTGTGAATGAATAATGAAAAAAAAACAGTGGGAACAACTGTACCAAAGAGGTGGCACAGATTCAGTGGGCCAAATAGCCTCCTTCTGAGAGGTCCTATGATTGCATGAATGTTTAATCCGTTAAGAGATAGAAAGAAAATAGTGTGTGAAAAAGCAGTATTGAACACAAAGTGCTATTTCACTGCTTCTTTCTTATTTGCTTTTCCTCACTAAAACAAGAACTGAATCTCTGAAAATCTAGAAGCAGAAGTCTCCCAAACTTAAAGAGCTTTGATATTTGATATTAGAAGTTTCACTGTCTGGAATGTACCAGTATTAAAAATTCTGCAGTCAAACATAATCTGATTATCCACAGCATACTTAGACATATGTTGGAGCTCTGCAGATTAGCTAAGCCACACAATGGTGTTGTACGCCTGCAGAACCAAACACTACCAGCTAATTGCTCGGGGAGAGTGCTACCACAAATCCTCCTTTCTAGATGTTTTATAATCAGAGATAGGAACGCTACCACTGCACCACAAGAGCCTTCCAATCCTTTCTATCCTCAGTGTAAGGAGCCTCTATGGCTAACAGTAGTAGAGGATGAACCACTAATGAGTGTTAACAAAATGTAGGTTATTGTAAAATAGTACAGGGTACAAGTTACATTGGATTTCTAGACATAATTACTAAGATTATCAAGAGCCAGGGATAACACCCTCTGATCCCATTAAGGTCTTGAGCTGGATTCCTCAATTCTCCATCCAAGATTGTATGATATCATCACAATGTATAGGGTCTCATGCAGTCTCCAACATTAACTCTTTCAGAACCAGTATCTCATACAACAGCTCCCCCAAACAATTTTCCCTGCAATTTAACATTCATATATTCGGAGGTCTTCCCTGCTGACACAGGTAGTTGCCCCAAAATATCATCTGGGGAACATTTAATATCAAGAATGTCTATCATGGAAAACAGCTATTCTGTTAAAAGAAGTGTTTTTTGTAGTATCTTAGACTTTTCAGATGAGGAAATTAGTTCTTTTTGACAGTGTCTAGAATCTGTGGATATTGATTGGGCTTCCATGCAGCTCCTTTTCAATTAGTTCAATAAAATCTTCACTCTCAACAATAACTTAGATGCCCCTGTGTTGAAGTATATAAGCTCTTTATTTCAACTTGTTGAGTAAGTTAAACAAAGAACAGTACAGCACAGTACAGGCCCTTCGGCCCACAATGTTGTGCCGAACCTTTACCCTAAACCCAACATCTTCAATCTTCTCCCAATACCGTGGATGTCTTTGGGGTCGACAAGGCTTTTCACATCCTCAAGATGAAATTTGCTGCTTACTTAGCATTATCTCAGTCACTGCTACTGATGATGTTTCATTGCAAGGCAAATAATTAAATATGGTTCTTCAGCTTGATGTCAGATGATAAGACACAAGGTTAAACCTGCTTTATCAATTTGTTCATTTTACTGTTTTGCTAACTGAATAACCTCAATTAAAGATTCCTCAATGAGCATGTGTGTTGTACTGCTAATTCTCATTCCTAGTATTTGCGTTTTCTGTCAAACTTTGCTGATTTTTATTATCTGAAAGTTGCACACCCTTGTCAATCAAGAATCTATCTAATGCTGCATTAAAAATAGTCAGTATTACTCCTCTCCAAGAGAATCTTACAAACTAACCATCCTCTAAGAAAGCAAACATTTCATCTCTGTCTTAAGTGGAAGACCTCTAATTTTGAATGGTGAACACAAGATGAATACAGCTGTGGTATCATCAATGTGTCAAATATTAGTTAGACCACAGCTGGAGTATTGTGTACAGTTCTGGTTGCCATACTCAGGAAGGATGTTACAGCACGAGAGAGGGTGCAGAGGAGATTCACCAGGGTGTTGCCTGGGCTGGAGCTTTTGAGCAATAAAGAGAGACTCGTTAGACTGCACAAAACCAGAAGTTGCTGGTAAAGCTCAGCAGGTCTGGTAGCATCTGTGAAGAAAAAAAAAAATCAGAGTTAACGTTTTGGGTTCAGTGACCCTTCCTTAGAACTCTGAGGAAGGGTCACTGGATCCTAAACGTTATCTCTGATTTTTTTCCTTAATAGATGCTGCCAGAACTGCTGAGCTTTTCCAGCAACTTCTGGGTTTGTTCCGGATTTACAGCATCCACAGTTCTTTCGGTTTTTATCCCGTTAGACTGCAGTTGTTTTCCTTACAGTAGAGAAAGTTGAGGATACTTGATTGAGGTGTATAAAATTATGAGGCACATAGTTCAGTTAGATAGAAAGAAACTGTTTCCCTTTGTAGAAGGGTCAATTAATCAGGGGTATAGATTTAAGGTAAGCGACAGGAGGTTTAGGGGAGATTGAAGCAAATTTTTTTTCACCCAGTGTGGTGTATATCTGAAACTCACTGCCTGAAAGGGTAGTAGAGGCAGGAATCCTTGTAACATACAAGAAGAATTTAGCTTAATCAAATGGGCCAAGGACTGGCAGTTGGAGTTTAATTTAGATAATCTGGAAAGGCAAATCAGGGCAGGACTTATACACTTAATGGTAAGACCTGGGGAGTGTTGCTGAACAAAGAGACCAAAGAGTTCATAGTTCCTTGAAAGTGGAGTTGCAGGTAGACAGGGAGGTGAAGTAATCATCTGGTATTCTAGCCTTTATTGGTCAGTGCATGGAGTATGGGAGTTGGGAGGTCATGTTGAGACTGTATAGGACATTGGTTAGGTTACTTTTGGAATACTGTGTGCAATTCTGGTCTCCCTGCTAGAGGAATGTTGTTGTGAAACTTGAAATGGTTCAGAAAAGATTTACAAGAATGTTGCCAGGGTTTGAGGGCTTGAGCTATACGAAGAGGCTGAATAGGCTGGGGCTATTTTCCCTGGAGCATTGGAGGCTGAGGGGTGGGCTAAAAGAGGTTTTATAAAATCATGAGGGGCATGGGGGGGGGGGTCCAAAACTAGACAGCATAGGTTTAAGGTGAGAGGGAAAATATTTAAAAGGGATCGAAGGGGCAACATTTTCACACAGGCGTTGGTGTGTGTATGAAATGAGCTGCCAGAGGAAGTGATGGAGGATGGTACAAATACAACATTTAAAAGGCATTTGTATGGGTATATGAATAGGCAGGGTTTTGAGGGATATGGGCCAAATGCTGGCATATGGGACTAGATTAATTTAGGATATCTGGTCAACATGGATGAGTTGGACTAAAGTGTCTGTTTCCATGCTGTACGACTGACTCCGTGAGATGAACACTTGAAAAGCTGTAGCTATCAGCCCAGAGCTGGAAAATAGGATTTGAGTAGATAAGGACTTAGAGTCATAGAGCATGGAAACAGACCCTTTGGTCCAATCAAAGCCATGCCAAATATAATCCCAAACTAAACTAGTCCAATCTGCCAATTCCTGGCCCATATTCCTCCAAATTTTTCCTAATCATGTAGTTATTCGAGTATTTTTTAAACTTTGTAATTGTGTCCACATCCACCACTTTGTCAAGAAGCTCATTCCACACATGAAACATCCTGTGTGAAACATTTGCCTCCATGTTTTTTTAAAATCTCTCTCCTCTCACCTTAAAATAACTTGATAACTGGTGTGAACGTAATGAGCTGAAAGGCCTCTTTCCATTACGTAAATTTCTAAGACAAGGCCTGATATACATCGTTACTTTGATTTCTTTCCCCCCTCATTGCTCAACAGAATGCCATTTGACTTCTCGTTCACATGTTGTATCTGCATACTGATTGTTTTTGTGATTCCTGTATCATGACACCCAATTCCCTCAGTACCTCAGCGTTCTGGAATGTCTCCCAATTTAAATGTGCTGCATTGCTATCCTTCCAGACAAAGACGACAAGTTCATATTTTTTGACATCATAATCCATCTAAAAAAAGTTTGCTCACTCAACCCATCCATTTCAGACTTATTATATCCGCTTCACAATTACTTACAATACATTATCAGCAAATTTAGCAAGTTAAACTTTCAGAATGTGCAATCAGAGGAAAACATACACTTAATAATCGGTACAAACTTAAGAAAAGAAAACTGAGTTCAGCAGAACTTCAGGAAAAAAAAGGAAATATTATGTTTATATCTTCCCTGTTTGAATTACCCTCCACAACGGTCACAGGACACACCGTTGGTCCATGGCAGCGTAAGGCTGATCATGCGCACGCGCAGTGGATACGGCAACGACCCGATTCGTCGGGGAGAAGGGACGAGCCGTATCAAAGCATGCGTCGTAATGGGAAGACGGGCACGCCCAGCGCATGCGTAGTAACTCCGGAGTTGGGCGCTGGCGGCGGTGCCGGGGGCAGAGGGGGGAGAGCATGCGGATTGGCGTGGAGGCGAGTCGAACGATTGACGCGTGCGCAGAGTGGTTTCCAGCGCGGTTTCTAACGGCCCAGAGGCGAACGTTGGGGGCGGGGGTTAGGGAGACGGTGGAAGCGGCAGAGAGAAAGGGGGCTGGCTGAAAGGAGGAGGAGCAGGTAGCACGCCAAAGGCCGCCTACAGCCAGCTTCGAGGGAGCATCGGGGGCATAGCCCGCATGGCACCCGCTTCTTTGAAATGACCGACTGACTCGGTACCTCGGAGATTTCCCGAGTGAGGCCGGCCATTTCATTGTGTTGTGAGGTAAACTCCCATTCATTTTGGAGCGTCGGGAGATAGGCCGCGCCTGAGGGAGGCGGCCACCGAGCTCGATTAATGCGGCTTGTGGGCAGCATCGACTGACCCGTGGCGGCGGACGAGGAGGAAAAAAAAAACACCCTTCTTGTGGGAAGAAAAATCACCGGTGGATATTTGTTTATTTTCGCGGAGAATTCAGCTTGATTAGACACACGGCTGGAGATGGTGGATGTGGATTTCGGTGGCTGCGGTGCATCTGGAAATGGCAGCAGCAGCAGAAAGATGCTGGAGCTGTCTGAGTCTGACTGCGCTGAGATTGTTCCTCTGCAGCTCTACGATTCGTCTAGGGCCAAGATAGCCGCCAATCTGGCGTGGATCTTTTCCAAAGCGTATGGAATAGGTAAATGGAAATTTTCTAAATGTCGATGCCTTCGATGTATCCGCATTTAAAGGAGAGAGAACAAAAAAAAAATAGGTCCGTAGCGTCGAGTCTCTTAGGAGATCAATCGCGCCCAGCACTCTGCTCTATCGCGGACAAAAGATTTTCTTTTTGAAAAAAGAAAAGCACAAACTGGTTGGTGGGTTAATACGGCTTGATTTCTGTATCCTTACATTTGCATTGAAGGGCTGAAATATTCAACTGGCGTGACCTAAGATAACTGCTTTTATTTAAAAATGCAAGCCGTTTAAAGGAGGACTATAAATTGATTATTTCTGAGCAGCAAAAAGTATGAATAGATCTCTTTGAGCGTTATTTAATAATCTTGAATTTAGGGATTACTTCTAGGGCCGGAGTGTCCACAGGGATAGCTGTTTAGATTTTTGATTGACGAGGAGCCTATTGATTTAGAACGTTTAATTGGCGAATTCCTGTAGAATTCATATCTACGGAAATCAGACTTCCTTAAGCGCATGGCTTCTATTTCATATTGACGTGGTTCGAGTTGATATTTGGTCAGATATGGGTCCACATGTTCATTGTCTAGAAAGAACACTGATAAACAAAAACAGATTCCAAACGAAGCCTCCACAACTTCTCTGGTTTGGAAATGAGAATACCTGGGGGATGTGAAATATTTTCTTGATATATGGAGCCTTGTCATTATAGTGCAATCTCGCAAACATAGAGATCGTAGTTCACATTCCATCATAGTTGCAAGGCATTTACAGTTCAACTGGTCTGTTTATACTCTGCTCAAGCCAATTGAAATTCAAGATCAAACAAACTTTTGCTCATTGAGTGGTTGCTGTCATCCTTTAGATTGACCCTACGCTTATGCTTCCCCTTTAAATACACTGCATAGTTCAACTTCATAGCAACTTGCATTTGCTGCAGTTAAATATTCTAAAGTTCTTAGTAGTAATGTCAAACAAAATGTTGCAATCAGTTTTAATTATCATTCCTCCCCACATTCTCCTCTACATCATTTTTATACATATCACAAGCAATACCTGTGGTATGCTGCTGGACTTTGGCCACCAGTCACACAAACACCTTCTACCACTACCCTTTGTCTCCTACCATTGAACCAGTTTTGGATCGCATGTGCTTTTACCTTTATCAGTCTTCCATGTGGGACCTTATCAAATGATTTGTTGAAATCCGTATAAGTTAGATTGACTGCACTGCCCTCGTCCATGCTTGATCACCTTTTTGAAAAATTCAACCAGATTTGTTAGGCTTGATCTCCATCTGACAAAGCTGGGCTGACTATCTCTGACCAAGTCAGAAGTCACATGATACTAGGTTATAGTCCAACAGATTCAATTGAAATCACAGGCTTTCAGAGCATAGCCTCTTCGTCATGTGAAGTGAGAGAGAAGTGCACAGACACAGAATTTATAGGCAGAGAGATCAAAAGATCATATAAATGATGTGAGTGGAGCGTCGAATAAGAAGTCTCTGCAGGTGATCAAAAATGTCAGATGGCGTGAGTAAAGTGTTAACAGCTGAATAATAAGTGAAGGGATGACCTAATATCCGATTAAATGTTTTGACACCATCACCTTGATAAATTGCTATGATCTCTGTACCTTAATTAGTTTGTACAGTTTTGGATTACTTGTTATTTTGGTTAGACGCTCGGTATGCCACCCTTATACCTATCATGTTATTTCAGTCATTTCGTTTGTCTCTAGCACCGCTTTATTTTTAACCTTCTGTAATTATTTTTGTGGCTCATTTAATCGGATTATAGGTCATTCTTTTGTTTGTTATTCAGCTGTTGACACTTCACTCACACCATCTGACATTTTTGATCACCTGCAGAGATTTATTATTTGACACTTCGCTCACATCATTTGTATGATCGTTTGACCTCTGCCTATAAATTCTGTGTTGGTGTGCTTCTCTCTCGCTTCACGTGATGAAGGGGCTGCTCTCCGAAAGCTTGTGATTTCAAATAAACCAGTTGGACTATAACCTGGTGTCGTGTGACTTCTGACTTTGAATACCGCAGTGTAACACTGGCACTTCCACATCATATCCCTGACCAAATCTTGCTTTTGCTATTGGGAGATGAATTCTTCCTTCAGAATTTTCACCAGTAGTTTCCCTACCACTGATATTAGGCTCACTATGCAATAATACCTTCATTTATCTTTACCACCCTTCCCAGAAGTGAGACATTATTAGCTGTGTTCCTGTGCCCTGGCATTTCCTTTGTGGCCAGAGAAGGGTTAAATATTTGGGTCAATGCCCTTATGATTTCTTCCCTCATTCTCCCACAGCAACCTGGGATACAACTCATGTGGACCCAGGGATTTTTGTCTACTTTTAAACTTCCTAGAGGACATTAGTGAACCAGGTGGGCTTTTACAATAATTGACACTGGTTACATGATTATCATTAAACTCACTTTTTAAATTGATTTCATATCCCACCATGAAAGATGATGAAATTCCAACCCATTAACTCCAGCATATTAGCCTAATGTTCTTGATTACTAGTTTAGCGACATTACCACTGTGCCATCACCTTCCCCCTAAGTGGTGGTGTTTGAAGGGTTTGATAGATGACGTGTTTGGAAATTTGTGCACTTCTGATGCTTTTGACATTGCCTTTGCATGTTCCTGACAAAGTCTTTTGAAATGTTATGTGCCTATCTGAGTGTGCTTTTTTGTTTTGTTGGTCACAGGCTAGGGAATCCCACTAATTGGTAGGGTTATTAAACTTAGTCATGGATGTCTGGAGTCTTTTTCTAAAGTCCTTCCTCTATCCTCCTTGGAGTCTTCTATTGCAGCTGAATTCCTAATAGAGCAGTTGTTTTAGGAGCCCAGTGTCAGGCAGTACAGATGATATGATTTGCCCAGCAGCGCTGGGTTCAAGTGATTTGCGCCCTGACGCTGAGCATGTTGATGTGAAGAAGGACACTGCTGTTGGGCCAGCTTTCTTTCCACCAGATTTGGAGGATCTTATGAGGACAATCTTTGCAGTACTTTTCCAATGTTTTGTTGTACTAAAGTCAAGTTATTTCAATCATCATAAGTACTGTTTAATTGTTGTTTGGAGCTGGACCCAAACGGGTGTACGAATGGAAATTTAGCCAGCAACAAGAGGCTGATTGGTTTGGGAAATGGTTAGCTGTTGTCAGTGACAAAGGCCTTCTGTCTGCCAACATTTGTGATTAACTCTCAGGTAGCTAAGTGGCTTGTGGGTGCAAATATTTGGGCAGAAGCAATTTGACTTCTAATAAAGAAAGGAGCTGTGTTTCTCTCTGCAGCAAAAATATGCTGGAATCCTGAAAAAAAGCCAGTTTATTTCCCCACATCTATTGCTGTAAGCTGTGGCTCTTAACCGATATGTCAGAGATGTTATAAGTGTGAACCAGTCCCTCTGTGTTTCCTGCAAGGAAATAAAGTACCTGGCGAAGGAAGATTGAGGAGCAGCAAGTCCTGATGAAGCAAAAGGATCATCTCAGCGAGCCTTATGAACAGGGACCATTGGCTGCCTTCTCAGTTTTTTTTTCCCCTCCACCTATAACACCCACATTTGTTTTGTCTGTATGTGTGTGTAGGGGGAGTATTATAGGAGGGGTTAAAAGATTAAATGGTAGTGTTGTATGTTGATAATTCATGAGTCAAAGCACTTGTTCCTGTACTGTTCTATGTTTATGTTCTACAATTGTTTATCTGTAGCTAGTAATATGTTTGTAATAAGTGGTGATTCTTGTAAGTACAGAAACGTGGTCCATGCTTTCTACCAACCTTGGTCTATAAGACAGGTAAATTGGGGAATTTTACCTGCTTTTATAAATTGCTTAATGTTTGAGATGACTCCTGGAATAACATGACATGATTTCCAGCATGCTATGCCAGCGAGATGTAACACTACGAATTGTACAGGATTGAGTGAATCCTTCTGCCTGAGTAAAATCTGACCTTCGTCTCTAATTTGAGATCCTCGTCGTGAAATTCTCTCTTCACCAGTCAGCCAAAGGCTGAGTGGGTGCTTTTGGAGCTAGTGGAAAGAGGGTTTTAGTTTTGAGTAGAACATTCCTTCAAATAGCAACTTCCTTTCTCTGAGTAAAGACATTTTCTTGAATTCTGTAATACATTTATAAGTTGGTATTCTGTGGGAACATTAACGGTCTTAATTGTAATTATGTTTTCTACAACTATCTTAGTGAACCCTGTGATTTTTATAATCTTTTTTAAGTAATTCTTTGGTCTTCTTGTTTCTAGAGAAAAGAGTCTGTAGCATGTTCAATCTTTCTTGATTCTTATAACCTCTCTTCTAATATTCTTTTAAATCACCTTTCAAATCACCTTTCCATCTTCTCTAATCTTGATTATGGAGATCAGGAAATCCACATACTTTACATAGATTGTAATCCTCTTATCTGCTGTTACTGTTGCTTTCACAAAGAAATAAAGTTTAAGTATGTTTAGCTTTGGAATCTGTGCTAAGTAGACTTTTTTCTATTTTTGGTTTGTAGACATTTTTCTATTACATCTTTGAGTGAATTTTTATTATCCTTCTTACCATAATTGTCATGTTTCTTTAAGTATGGTTCCTTTGAGTTGTTCTAACTCCCTCTTTAAATCTAGGAATAACACTTCCCATCTATCTTCTGCCAACCTTTAGTGTGTTCAAGTGTGGAACTTATGAAATGGAATTCAATAAATTCAGTAATTCATCAGGTGACACCAGAAAAGAAAGACTGCAAAACTGCTAGTTTGTCACTTACTATCCAACTGGTTTGTTAATATCCTTCAGGGAAGGAAAAGGGTCATATATATTGCATTTTTGGCCGCACTGTGACTGTTGATACCTTCAGGGTAATGAGGGATGGATAGCAATTTCTGTTTTTGTCAGTGTCATCCATTCTTCCAAGAACAAATAAAAATCAACAACTCCTTGTTTCCTGGATCCCTCAAAAATGTGATAGAATCACTGCA